ATTAAAAAAGCATAAAACCTTAATCACGGTGTGAATTTCAAAACACATTTTTATGATTGTCCAAAATGACGTTGGTTTTTAAAAGCATATAGTGTGTGTTTTCCGTGAACTCTAGTGTTCCTCTCGTAAAAACCACACTGTGGTTACAAGGTGCTACAAGGCGCTGACGCCAGAACTGGGAAAAGCGCTGCCAGCCGAGAGAGCCTGTCCAGCGGCCCCAGGTGGGATTTTTCCACCTCAGAATAAAAGAAAATAAACGCGCAGCGATCCCGCAGGAATCACCAGCGCAAACCGCAGCTCTGGGAACGCTGCCTCACCTGGGCAGGACGTTCACACGCTTCCCATGATTCCTTTCCAATGTTCTCTAATGGTCAAAATGACCCTGAACAATTACTACTGAACCTTGCTTTAATTTGGGGTGTGCTGCTTTTTTTATGGCCTTCTCCCCACCCTGCGTGTTACCCATGATTTCATAAGCGCTGGACGGGACCCGGCGGTTAGGGGGGTACACTAGGGTCACGCCGCGGAGGGATTTTCCTCCAGCGGCTCGTATGCGAGAGGCCCGCACGAGCTTTCATCCAAGGAAAGCAGCGTGTCTTTGGTGTCCGCGCGGGGTGAACCCTGTTCCAGCACCCATGCCAGGACACACACTGTGCACTATGAAGGGAGCTCGTGACAGACAGCGAGAAGAAAGAGTTTGATGTGTTGCCACAATCCCTGGACATTTCATCCTCTGAACATCTGCAAATGGGGCCCGGCGAGCCCTTTGAACCCCTCCTTTCTCTTCTCCCTTGCTAAAATGGAGGAAGTTTGAATGAACTTAGACTGGAGGCGGCCATACAGCCAAACTGACCCTTGTAGAAATGGAGAAAAAAAAGGGGGTTTTAAAGGTTGTCTTGCTTATTATTGCTTACACTTTAGGATAAACAATTAACCCTGTCATTTATTAAGCTTAATGGACAATTATGGACCTGTTATGCAAAAATCACTTTTATAAGGGGTTTAAACACAGTTATGTGACAACAGCCTGTGAATATAACCAGCTTCTAATGGTAAACGTTTATTAATTTCATTTTTGATAAAACAGTCTGCAGAAACACTTTGATAGACGTTTTCTCTTCGTATGCATCATCAGAGGGGGTAAGCCCCGCCCATTAGTGATGATCTCTCCCTCATTAGCATAGAACGTTTGTCTTGTTTTTGAGTCTGCCACTATGCTGACACATAGGCATTTGTTGCTCTTTTGAAAAGAGCACAGTCTCATTTGAATTTAAAGCGACGGTCATCAAAACGGCACAATTAAGATCAAAGCCTAAAAGAGTCAGCTTCAAAGAGTTATAAAGCATTATTTGTGGGGTGTTTTTAGCTGAAACTTCACATACTAACTCTTTAAAGGCATCAGAGATCTTATAAAAAGGGACCATTCTTGTTACTCAGGAAATTTATCATGAAGATTAATTGCAAACGCTTGCCTAATGCGTGCACCTATTTTATTTGTTTAGTATAAATACATACATATATTATTAGCCTGATTTGGAGCGGGCAAGCTGTAAACAATATATCCCTTTAGCAACTTATTCAGCCTGTCGTTAATTTATTTACAGTGTTAGTGTTATTAAATGGACAAATGCATTATAAATCTTGTCTACGCTGTCAAGTATTCTGTTAATACTCGACACCCAATTTCCTCCACTAATTTATGCTTAAAGTAATGTTTCCCACTTGTAGTTTAAAAGTGAGGTTAGGGTGTGAAACACTGTATTCAATTCAATTTATGTTTATTTCTGTAGCGCTTTTACAATGTAGATTGTGTCAAAGCAGCTTCACATAGAAGATTATAGTAACCTGAAAGAGTGTCAGTCCAGTTTTCAGAGTTTACGTTCAGTTTAGTTTAGATTAGCTCAGTTCAGTTTAATGTGTTTAAATATTCACTGCGGGGGGTCTAAACACTGAAGAGTAAAGCTACGGTCACACTAGAGTTTGTGTGCGCGAAATTCTGTCGTGCGGTGCTGCCAAAAGGGGCGGGATTAAACAAGATGATTAGCGAGCGATTGCTCCATGTTTTAAATTTCTGTCCAGAGAGGTCATGTTTTGATCCTCGATTGGTCTCATGCAGTGAAGTGATGAGAATTCGCAGGTCTGAGTTCACCAAGCTTGAACTTTGCACCGAAGCAACCTGCGAAACTTGACGCATGACTCTGCGTTTCCTGTCTGACGCATTCGCGTGCGTATGAATGTTAGTCTATGGAAGGAAAAGCCCAGTGTGACCACAGCTTATTCCATTGATGCACAGCTCTACAAGTCCCGAACTATGTAAGCCAGTGGCGATAGTGGCAAGGACAACAAAACTTCACCAATGGGCGAAAGTGAAAGAAAAAAAAAAAACCTTGGGAGAAACCAGGGTTAGTTTAGCATGACCATTTCTCATATAGCAAAATGTCTTGTGGAGAGCTGCAGTCTAGGCGCCGGAGGCTAGAAAACGCAGAAAGTCAGCGAAGACTCTGCATTCCCTGGAGTCTTCCAGGAATCAGTATCAGGCTCTCCACTCCTTCATAACCCCCTCAGCAGCTACTACGGCCTGGTCCGGGAATGTGGAAACCTTGGGATCATCTCTTCACAGGTCTTGGATCACTTCAGTGGCACTGCATAATCTCTGGGGGGCTCGGAATGAGTATCCCCAGGTGGAAATAGGAAATAAAGAGAATAATTAGCGTAGCTGCTGTTCATAGTGTATATAAACGAGATGTAAAAACCTGCGTGGAGAACATTCATGCATCATATAGCTATGTGATGCAATGAGAGTATGCTTTACTAAACAGATAGGTCTTTATTCTAGTTTTGAACTGCAAGAGTGTGTCTGAACCTCGGACGTTATCAGGAAGGCTATTCCAGAGTTTAGGAGCCATAAATGAGAAGGCTCGACCTCCTTTACTCGACTTTGCTATTCTACCAGAGGCCCTGAGTTTTGAGATCTTAAAGAGCGAGTTGGACTGTAGCCAGAAGGTTGGTTAGATAAACAGGAGCTAGATTATTGAAAGCTTTATAGGTAAGAAGCAATATTTTAAATTCAATACAAAACTTAACAGGCAGCCAGTGTTAGGAGGATAAAATAGGGGTGATATGATCATATTTTGTAGACCTGCTAGTGTCAGTGGTTCTGCCCTCACTACTGTTGCTGATAAAAACACTAAATGTAAACATTTTACAATCCTGTAAACAAAAACAAATTATCAAACATACGTTTTTAATTAATGATTTATAAAGAATTTACTTTTTTTATTTTTAAAGAATTATTAGGCAACTTTTTTTGATGGTTTGCTGTTGTCCTGATGGTGATGTTGTTAAGTTACTTGCTTAGCCATGAATAGGGCCAGACGGAATCTGTGGACATTCTTTGCTATTTGTGCGGAGAATTTTCGTAAAAATCTGCGGATTTCTGCGGAATTATTTTGGGAGTATCATGAATAAAACATTTCTATGTAAAATAAAAAATAATATCTTTTAAACTTTTATTTAATGTTTAAAATGCAAACCCAATTAAATTCTCTAGATTTGGTAAACAAAGCAAGTCTCATATATCTACTAAAAGATTGTACATAAATCAGATGAACATTTTCATATTAGTCAATAATATTACTGTAATTAATTAAAAACTGAATAAACTTCTGAATTATGCGCGGGCAGCTTCCGTGTGGGCCTAGCAATGAACAGCCAATCATCTGCCTCATAGTTTAAACAGTCACGGAAACAACGCATGTTGCATATAGTTTTTTTTAAATCATTGTTTTAGGGCACAAAAAGATCAAATAGTGATGTGGGCAATGTGTCCATTTAACATTTCATGCTTACTGTTATACTACAAAGTCCATTCAGCTGAAACCTGATGGTAATCTTAGAGAGCCTACTCTCTCTACCTTTTACCATTTTAGGGAGTGCATAATGGAAATGGTAGTACCTCATAATAGTCACTTGTACTTAGCATGTATAGTTTTTTACATTTTTTTTAAAGAGTATAGATAATGTCCTGGGGCGGCTCAGTGGGTAGCACTGTCACCTTACAGCAACAATGTCGTTGCTTCAAGCCCTGGCTGGGTCAGTTGGCATTTCTGTGTGGAGTTTGCATGTTCTTCCTGTGTTCGCGTGGGATTCTCCAGGTGCTCCGGTTTCCCCCTCAGTCATGCGCTATAGGTGAATTGGGTAAGCTAAATTGTCTGTAATGTATGCATGTATGTCCTGGTCCTCCAGGTTGGGGGTTGAGCATTGGGCTAATGACTTCCCTCATAAAAATTAGATCTCATGAAGCATCAATTTGGTGCGGATAAATGTTAACTTTGATATAAACGGCCCTGGGAGTAAGTAAGTTGGTGTCCTAATGGTGCTTATTTGACATGTTAACAAGGGACTGAGAATGTACAGTGAGATGTGCAACAAGAATCTTCAAAACCCAATCCAGCAGGTCAGTAATACATTAGAAAATATTAGCATTATTAATCTCAGAACACGACCTGCTTGATACTGTCTTTATTCATCTTTTGAGCAAACTTGTTAAAATGGCTCAGTGAAATTTTGTAGAAAAATCCCGATATTTTCAGTAACTGAACATCAAAATACACCAATTAGGATAGACGGGGAATTCTGTCAGGTTCAACAAGCTGTTATTTCTATAAAACAATAGTGAATATCCCTCCCACTGAATGGGAACATTTGATTTAACAGGTCTATGAGGACTTTGTGTAAACTCATCGCCTCCTTGTGGCCATGTGGAGAACATTCACACAGTTATTCAAATATATCATCAAGCAAAGACAAAAAATGGTTCAAATAGATGAAATAAACCTGAACATCTAAATAAACTTCACTACAGATTTCATCTATAGCCAGTGCAGCTTTATGCTTTCTCCAGTAATTTGATTTAACGTTAAACTGCATTATAGTTATGGCAAAGATGGCAAAACTAAAACCTCTTCTAGAAGCGCACATAAATAAAAGTGTCCTAAAAATTCAAAATTGACCGTTTAATCACAGAAACCCGTAACGGAGCAGCTGCGAAAAACACATTACAGTCATAAACACAGTTTGTGTTTAGAAATGAAGACACTAGTTGACAGGACATTCACAGATTACAGATAAATAATTGCACTGTTGACCACCTCTTCTTGCATCAGTAACACATTCAGAGGTTCTAGTTGAGTCCTGATTTATTCCCTCTCCGAAGCAGCCGAGGCGAGTCTGCTTTCCACAGTCCATTTGGCAGTAAACAAACTCAAATCTCTCATCAAAATGAGTCCATAAGTGTGCGTTTTCTCCCATCACTGTCACTGCTCCACATGCAACAGCATCTGCAGATCCAAAAGGGGTCCTAAAGTTCATCCTGTAGCGAAGTAAAAGGAAAAGGTGATATTAGGAACTCAATTTTGAGCTGTAAATTAAGAATTCTCTCCACACCACTGAAAATAAATGTATTTACAATTCAAGGAAATCCACTTTTAATTTCTTTTTACACCCGACCTAAATATTTTAAAAATAATTACTTAATAAGCAGTGCTTCTTTGACGTCAAAATTATTAAAATTGAATAAAAAAAAAATCTGATTCAGCATGAAAAGTCAAAAAAATAAAAAAATAAAAAATAAAAATAAATCAGATTTTTATCAGATTCAGCATCATGTCTATTTTTAGGGATCATTCACCCAAAACTGGATATTTTTTCATCATTTATTAACTCTTGAATTACAAACTTGTCCAAATTTCTTTCTTCTGCTGAACACAAAGGAATTGAAAATTGAAAATTTTTTGAAACCTGTAACTTTTCACTTTTTTAGATTTTGTTTGTCCTACTATGGAAGTCAACTGTTACTGGTTTCCCAACATTCTTCAAAATAACTTCTTTTGTGTTCAACCAAAAAAAAAAAAAAACACCCTCAAAGTTCAGAACCACTTGAGGGTGACTAAATGGTGAGCACATTTTCATTTTTGGGTGAAATACCACTTTAAAGTGTTTGAAAGACTCCTAAATCAAAAGCAGTAAGATAATCAAATAGGCGACGAGTATCTTACTTTAAGTTTGGACTTTCCCTGTAATGCTAGCTGCTGGAGTCTCTGTCGAAGAATGTCTGCAATGACGGTGGCGTCTCTGCTGTTAATATGCTCTCCTCCTTGATCTCGCTAAGAGTTTGAGACACAAATAACACAGTCAGCACAATATGATGAACAATATGAGAACATTATGATGGCCAATGCTTGAGCTGTACCCTTGTGGTGCCCAAGGTGGGGTAGAATCGGACAGTGGGGTAAGCCTTGATCCCAGCACTCTGGCAGGTCTGATAGTGTGCCTGGCAGTCCACTTTTCCCGCTCGTACAGTTCCCTTCATCATCTGCAGGAGAAGAACAGGCGAATTTATTCATGATTAGAGTACTTGCACTGACTGAAGTCCATGGATATGATGCTGTGTTGCTTTTTGATATATAATAATTGCATCTTCAGTTTAATGGAAAAGTTAAAACCGGAGCAGACATGTTCAAAACAGTATGATCATGTTCTAAAGCATGATTTCAGAATGATAATCTAGACATTCTGTAAAAAACAACACCAGACTGCAAGATGGAACAAGACAACTGATTGAAAAAGCTACTAGAAATATGTAAAGAAATGGAACTAAAACTATATAAGAATTACTAGGAATGCACCGATATGGATTTTTTTGCCGATATTGATAACCGATAACTTGGAGGCCAATAGCCGATATATATAGAGCCGATAAATATTAATATTTCAAAATGTACTATTTTTATAAAGTGAACAGTAAATTTTATTTTAAAAACTACATAAAAGTTTGAACTGCTCTCATGAACTGAATAATCTATAATCAAAGCAAAAAAAAGCTATTATTTCAAAACTGCAAGGTGATTATATAGACCTATATTCATGATTTCACATAAATCAACATGCCAAAATGAATAGCAAATTAACATGTAACTTGACAGTTAAAAAATATATATAATAATGATAATAATAATAATAATTATATATATATATATATATATATATATATATATATATATATATATATATATATATATATATATATATATATATATATATATATATATATTAAAAATATAAAAATAATTGGTTAAATAACAAAATGGGATTTAATTAACAAGCAAGGTAACTATATTTTAATTCAAATGAAAGCTAAGGAATAAAACCAGCTCAAATGTTCTTGAATAAAACATGTTGGAGTAATGTACATATGTACATACTTTTAAAGTCAGAATTATTAGCCCCCCGCTTATTTTTTCCCTTATTTCTGTTTAACGAGATTTTTTCAACACATTTCTAATCATAATAGTTTTAATAACTGATTTCTAATAACTGATTTATTTTATCTTTGCCATGATGACAGTAAATTATATTTGACTAGATATTTTTCAAGATACTTCTATACAGCTTAAAGGGAGATTCAAAGGCTTAACTAAATAATTAGGGTTAGAAGCAGAGTCAGATTTGCCCTCGGAGTCAGATTGATCCAACACCTGAGCACTGACCACAGATGACTTTATGACAAACACAGTGCACAATATAAAGACAGAATGTGAGCTAACCGATCAAACTGAATACGATCTTTCATCAACAACACATGGCAAACAACACGTTGATTGAAACAAATAATCAGATTCCAAACAACCCAACAAGGTGTTTAGCACGTGTGCATCACTGATATTATGTTTACACATGTTCTGTGTTTCTGAGATGATTTAAACCAATATATTTAATGGCACTCTATCAAACATATCTAAAATGATAAGGAACATGGTTACTTACTGAGTTATTAACACACAGCAATAGCACACGAAAAAAAGGACGGACTTTGAAGGAATAAACAATGTGAAGTAAGCTCAGTTATAGTGCACAGGACTAGTCTGAACAAGTTCAACACACAGTTTTGTACAATTATGTAATTTATCGCCTTAAAGATATCGACCTAAGTTTAAAAATAGCATTTATCAGCCGATAACGATATGGCCGTCAATATACAGTATCGTGCATCCCTAAGAATTACATAAGTAGTATATTTGTTGTTGAAGCATTTTCCCCTTAGTGAGATCTATCTAACCATCCATCTATCTGTCTGAAAAAACATATATTTTAAGGGTAAAAAAAGTGAATAAAATGCTACAATAGAAACCAGTTAATAGCTAAGTTTCATTATATAAATACCTGTCATAGATCTAACAGTACATATTTATTGTAATATTTTTTTTTTTTTTTTACTTTATTTCTAGAAGTTTTTGTAAAAACATAACACCAAATAATGTACATCATGTATATATGTTGTCTCGGTGTTATTACCTTATACTAACTAGAACATGCACCAAAACACATACAAACATAACAGCAATTTTACAGCACCATCACAAAACAATAAAGAAATTTTAGCCAGACTGATGGAATAAGAAACAAAATAGAATAACGTGTAAAAAGGAAGTGGAGAGAAGAAAAAAATTATACATATTTACAGAAACATTAATAACCTATACATCTAAGGAAGGGGCCCCATGTTTTGTCATACAACTTTTGTTTGCCAAATCTAGAGAAGCTTAACCTTTCCAACTTGAGGGCAGAAACCATTTCAGGACCAAAATATATGACCATAGGTCCTGACTGCACCTTTGCATTTATCACACAGGGGAGAGACAGAAGGATATAGCTTATTAAGTTTGGCTTTTGTATAGTGCAATCTATGCATCACTTTAAATTGAATGAGCTGTAGCCTTACATTTATAGAGCAAGAATGAATACATATTTATTGTAATTTGAGAGTTTCTGGACCAGTAAGTAAAAAATGTAAACTGACAATCCCAGAATTTCTTGTGTAACAATTCACATTTGATGTTATGTGCACACATTTGGGTAACACTTTACAATATTAATGCATTTACTAACAAGAACAAACAATGAACAGTACATTATTTAGTACAATTACAGTATTAATGTTAGTAACGTTAGTGAATTAAAATGCAGTTGTTCTTTGTTAACTCATGGTGCATTAACTAATGTTCACAAGCATGAATGTGGATGTTAATAATGCATTAGTAAATGTAGAGCTATGATAAATAATTGCTCGACAAGTATAGTTCATTATTAGTTCATGCTAGTAAAAACATGAACTAATGAAACCTTATTGTCAAGAGTGACCCACAATGCTTGTTAAATCAAGAAAGGCAGTTAAAATGTTTTTTTTACTATTTTTCTATATACTGTTTATTATTATTAACATCCTCGGCTTATGAAAACTATATTTGTACAATTAGCCACATGATTATAATGATAACAACTTATGTCAAAAAAGAAGAAGACAGAAATATATATGATCGAATGAAGAAACATGGTTTCAGGTGTACATGCAAAACAACTTGGCAGCATTAAAAACAATAATGTATGCGATTGGCTAAAGCACTACATGTACTGCTCTCATTGGTTCAGCTGGTTAAAGTTCATTTGCAGCTATATTTGCATTTGTTTTAGGAAATTTCAATACTTGCAAAGCAGTAAACGTTTGGAAAAACATTAGTTAAGTTCCAAATACCAGATGATCTCAAAGGAGGTTATCAAAGCCCACTACAACAGCAGTATAGTTTACAATATTAAACTATTTAAATATAACCAGGCCAAGCTTATATTTAAAACACAAGATTGAAGTTAGTATGTGCTTGGAGTTTCACTATACCAAAAAAAGTTTAATATTAAATAAATGTCTGGCAGATATAAAAAAAAAATTCAGGGTAAATGCTTTACATTTATCAGATGTCTTCACAAATTTGGCAGAATAAAATCTTACCCTGGCAAGAACTTCAAACTCAGGGGCAAACTGCTGGCATGGACCGCACCACGGGGCATAGAAATCCAACACCCAATGATCTTTTCCTCCCAAAACTTTCCTCTTAAAATCCTCAGGTGACAGATCCACTGAGGCACGAGGCAGTGAGCTATGAACAAGAGAGTCCAAGAGTTAGATTACAAAGGCAAAAAAACTCTGTATCTTAACAGAAACGCAACCAAAATGACTACAGTGGTGGTGCCACTGTAGTTTGTAAGCGGTAGTATCGTCATTAATGGTCTATCTATAATAGATAATGCTGCATGTGGAAAAGTCACTAAAATGCTCGCATGTTTTATTTGAATAGTCTGAGGAACCCTTTAAGGATGCACATTTTCTAATGTTTTCTGAGGTTTCAACACACATCTGAATCGGTTCATTTCTGTCCTGTCAATATGATTTAGTAGCTACAAAATTTGCGTCAATGCCTTAAAATGAATGACTCACAAAAATTTGAATGACTTTGGATTGTTACCTGATAAGACTGAAAAAACAACAACATTTAAAACCCAAAAAAGCAAGAGGAAACATTTAAACTATTTTTGACCACTTCAAATATTTTTGTATCAAATTTCATTTGATATAATTTGTATCTTTATTTTAATTTATTTTTGTTGTGTCATCTATAAAATAAACAACAAGGAATACATTTTAGTTGAAGTGCAAATACTTTTTCCAACAATAAAGGAATTATGAATTAAATACAAGACCTATTATAACTTGTAAAATATAGTATTTTTTGACAATTTTCTTTATAATTTGAGTTATGAATTACAGTATCGCAATACCATTTAGTATCATGATACTTCAACTGGTATAGTATCGTAAGATGAACTAATGGTAAACCGACAACTCTAATTCACACTTGTCTTGTTTGGTTCCACTAAATCAAACTCAAGGTTTTTTCTTCTTTTGGCAGGCGTGAATACAACAATCCCACTCTGGTGCACACCAAACAAACAGACCGAGACTCAATTGAAGAGGTTAACTCTGGTACTTTTTTTTAAAGGTATGAATTAGATCTGACACAATTGACCCTACATGGCCAGTTGATTGACAGCCAGTCATCTGACCAGTCATAATGCTAATATTCTTTTCATATTGTCAGACAGGCATCGTAGTAGCAGGAACCTAGAAAGGCTGGGCAATATACAATTTCATCCTTTCCTGAAACCTAGAGAAGCATATAAAAGTGATACTTTTGTGTAGACGGATCACCATTATCTGTCAATCATGGTGCAGTCACTACTGCTGAACAAATGACATAAAATGTGTCGAGATGGATGAACTAATCATTTCTGGCACAGCCTGCATAACTTTAGTTTATGAAGATGTGACTTGTTACAAGGCAAAATAACCAGTGAACTATTAGAGGAAGTGAAATAATCTTGTTTTTGTTTTGAAATATGATTATTTTGCTTACTCTATTGGCAGATTATTTTGCATCTTTTATGAAAAAAAAAAACTTCATTTTTACTTTTTATTTCTGAAAAAAAAATATATATATATTTTTACTTGTCAAGAAAATTCTTCTTGATTTAAGAATTTAAAGACATTTAGACTAGAAACAAGACAAAAACTTAAAAGCATTATTTGCAGTGTAACCTAAAGACCCAGATAAACAATGAATCGATCTTTACTGTCTCTTATTTCAAACTTGCATTCCATGTATGGATGCATTATAGTTCAGTCTTGTCTTGAGATGCCACCGTTGCTTTTGTTTGTGAATTATTATAGGGAATCAATATGAAACACTTAATATATTTGAATGATCCGAAACTCCTATCTCTTGTAGGCTATACCTTCATTTTTTTTACTGTTGGAATTTCTATTTCCAGTTACACTCACATCTTCAATATGTCCCCCATAACGCATATTGCAGACCTTTATGTCTGCTTCAGAAAATCGACACTGTGTTTGGCCCAGAGTTGAACTAAAGCAAGTGAACTAAGTGAATAAACCCTTATTTGTAACAATTTCTGTTGGCCAAAGCTCCTTTTATTTCAATAGTTTGATATTAACATTTTGCTAAACTAGTTGCACAATTCACTGTGTAGTTATATTTGTAAAAATGGATACTTTATTACTAAGAATCTGACTCACCTTAAGGCCCAAGCCTTGAGTGAAAATGCATCTCGGTGCCATCCATTATAGGTCCTTTTGAAAAAGAGGAATGAAAGAGAAACACAGAATTTGTAGAACTAATCATGAGTGAATGAGTATGAGGTAGAGAAAGTGAGGGACACGCACTGATACTGGTCTCTGCGGTTGCTGTTCTGAGGGAAAAGACGGATTTCTGGGTAAGCTCTGACGCTCTCGCTCTGGCAGAATGAGTGGTGTTTCTGACAGTCGACTGTTCCCACGTTTACAATCCCACTCAGCATCTAGAACACACAGGGCAGTAATGACCATGACAATTTTGCAAGCAATTATGTCAAATTACTGCAATAAATGATTTATCTTTTTCCTTCACATTGAGTGTAAGCTAATTACACAACTTTTTCACAATGTACTTGGAAACATTTATATAATACTTCAGACGTTTAATTCTCAGATTTCGAAGATATATTTTATTGCTATTAATATTATATTATGTGTGAGCATATATATTTATATAATTTGTTACATGGCTGTCAGGAATATTTGATTGTGATTGGTTAATCACAACATTCCAAGATATGTTATTCCAAGATAACAACTGCTAAATAACACAGGCTCAACTGGGAACTTCGAATTACTTTGACCACTGTTGAATACGTTCACATCTATATACTTACATCAAAATTCATTTGCATCTGCTTGTCTGTCACGTCGCATTTTTGAATGTTTGGTGCCATCTTGTCAATTAATAATTTGTAGATTAGTCTATGCCTTATTCAGTCAGCTTTGTTTTTGTCAGCTCTGTTTTTGACTGTTTGGTGCCTTCTTGTTTAGGAATAATACAGAGGTTAGTCTATCCTTTATTCAGCTAGTTTAGTTTCTGTCAGCTTTCAAGTTTTTCACTGCTTGGCGCCATCTTGTGTCTGAATAATGTGCAAGTTAGTGTATCCTCTATCAACTGAATTAGATTCTGTCAGATTTGCCTTTAAGTAAAGAATTAATAAACTCTTATGACTCAGAACAATGTTTTGTGTCAAAATTTTTTGTTTTTTGGCAAGTAGCTGTGTAATAAGCAAGTTAAACTACATCAGGACAGTTGTTTTTGCAGAATAAAGCTCTTCAGTCTAATACAAAATGCTCTGCTTTACTTTGGACACCTGATAAGCCTTGGGCATTATTCTGAGAACAACCTCCTGGATGCACTTTATCCCTAACATAAAATAAATGCTATTATTAAAACCTCAAAGGTCTTTAAAGTTAATTTTACTTTTTAATTTCAATTAAAATCTTAATTATACTTACATGTATTATTAACTGTAATTTATTTTCACCATTATGATTGTGTTTTTTTTACAATTAATAAATAAAAATTAATAACAAATTAAGTTTACAATTTTAATGATCTCATTTATACTTACACGTATTATGAACTGTAATTAATTTTTATTTATGTATTTCTTCTATTATTTTAATTTTAATTTTTTAACAGCAATTATTATAAAAATTAATAATTGTTTCACAGCCTTTTGAATAACTGCATGAAATTTTGCCATTTATAATTTAAAGTGCACAACATGCTTGTTGTGGACAGGCACTTAATCTAGTGTCTTCACATCAATAATAACATCAAACTGCAAAAAAACTATAATAAGTAATGCGGTAATGCATTAGCACTGCACTTGCTGTCAGTGTAATGTAATAGAGCAGGTACCCGTGCCATTCTCCTCCACTCGGGCAGCAGGGCCTGACAGGGGCCACACCACGGGGCGTAGAAGTCCACCATCCATGTCTCTGAGGACTTGCGTCTCTTCACTAGCTCCTGGAAGGACTCTGGGCCCAAAGTCACAACCACAGGGTTCACCAGGTCCTGTGCAAGACACAGCCATCTGTTACATTGAAACAGATATACAATGTGCATGCAGTATTATATGATTTATAGTTAAGTATACTGACCTCTATAAACTCCAGGATGCCGTCTGCAGAGTGATGGCCCTCATATTCATGGATGCTGGACTTGTTGAAGATTACAGTTGTTGGATATGCGTGAATGTTGTACTGAAGAAAGGGAAGGTGAAAGAGTTGAGAACTGGATGTCATCTGCATATTCATACCTTGGTAATATTAGCTTGTTATGTAAGTCTATCCTAAAATAATTTTAATTAGAAGCAAAAGCAGGGTGAGGTCTTAAATGTTGTTTAAAAAATAATAATAATAAAAAATGGACGTCAAAACATTGCTATTGCAAGTAAACAATACAAATAACAATAATGGGGAAAATGTACATAAACATGCCTGAATACATGGCAACTTCTGATACATTTTTTTGAATGCCCAAACAAATGCTTCAAATCACAATGTAATCATGTGATTAATTAAATTGTGATTTGTTTTATTTCTTGAACTACTCATGCCATTTCTGCCACATTTAAAATAAACAAATATTGTCATTTAGATATATTTTGTTGAATAAAATAACTTTTTAATAAAGCTAATAATAAATATCTTTTTAAAGGTTAATATTCATTACACAGCACCAATTTTGGGGTAATTGGAGTAAATGCCAATTTTTTTTTAAATGACAAGAAGTAAAAACATTTGTTATTGTGACCAATTGGCTCTAAATGACAATTTTTTTTTGTAATCATGAAGAAACATTCAGACTTTTTTTTTTTTAGAATCAATTTTTTTTAGCCATTTCCTCAAAAACTATACCTAATTAATTCTAATAACTTTCTAGAGTTCGCTTTAAATTTGCAATAGCTGTAATAATTTTTAATGACTAAAATAATGGAATACTAATAGACAACATTAAATAACATCAACTATTATTATTTTTTACTATGCAAAACTATGTTTGTTCAAACTACTTAAATAAAATCAGCTGAAACAACATTTCTTGAGGAGGTTTAAGTCAACTTAAATTATTTGTTCACGTTATCCCAACACAATGTGAATTTTACAGTGTATTGTCGTCATTATTATTTTGATTATATATTATGATAAATATAAAATATGTAGTAATTACCATTAAATCTAACATTATATTAGTTGTGTAATTTTGCTGCTAGTGGTGCAGAAGAAACATACCGAAAATGTATTAAGTCAAATGCTGTGGTTTCCTGTAGCAAAGATTAGAAAGATTTGATGATTCTATAAACACATTCTACATACAGATCAGTTCACTCAGACAGGAAGCTAATGAGGACCGTAATCCTATTAAGAGCATGCTTATGCAGGAAACCACATTAAAATGCTACAGACGTTGAGCACATGCAGCCAATAACTTCAGATCCAACAGATCAACCTTACAGTTTTAAGTACAGTAGTTTGGTTAAAGCTAGAAGTGTTTTCAGCTGTGTCTACTAGGCACATGCGCATCAATACAGCGCCTTTTTATGTTTCTATACAACAATAAATTCAGCTTTTCATTACTGTAAGGGGTAGTTTTAGGGTATAGACCTTAATAGAACACAATAGGATTGACTGTCACGTAAAGACATAAATAAATCAAAAGCCCAGTTGGAGCTCAAGTCCTACTTATTTTGGAGCTGGCTCAGACCTTCGTTTATTCCTAACTCTGCAGTTTTTGCAATATTTTCAGTAGGGCTGCACAATATATCGCTTTAGCATCGATATCGCCGTGTATGAGTTGTGATTGTAGTTGATCAGCAATAAAGACTCTACAGTGTTATTTTACATTACCTTTGATTATTCATTTACTGTACCTGAATATCTAACTACTGTTTGACTCTTTGGAAAAACCATAAAGCACTAATTATTTCACTTTTATTTTTGCTCTATTATGTTTATTTACGATTGCAATTTGTTTGATTCACTCCACTACAAGATTATTCCAGTCAATCTAAATGTATGATTTTATTCCAAACAGAGCTATTCAAATCATCAGCTGAAATTGTATTCAAATCTCAATATATATCAGAGAAAATATAAATATGGCAATGTCAGATTTTACCCAATATCGTGCAGCCCTAATTTGAGGAAGGGTGAATGTTTCAGTACCGTATTGCAGAGGCCTTCGTGAATGGTACAGTCCAGAGTCCCAAACTTCAGCTGTCCGAAGAGCTGGATTGAGGCTTTCCTCAGCTCTGGGAGGAGAGCTCGGCATGGCGGACACCACTGTGGGACAGATCCAATATTAATAACAAAGTCCCTTTAAAGCAAGTCATTTCACTCAGCGGCTATTAAATCTCTAAAATTGCTTGCCAAGCTTACATTTCATATTAAGAATCACCCATGACATTAAACATTAGTTTCATTTCTAAACGTTCAAATCACACCAAGTCTGCAGAAACTCACATCTGGCCCGAGCCCTTACCCTGGAGAAACCGGTCTATAGCGATCAATGGTTGGCTCCCATACTAGGAGGCGGGGCTTCATTTACCATATTGACGTTACACTTTTCCCCATTCAAAACTATACGAGTGACATGTCTTGTTTATTCTATATTCTATTATTGATAATAACCACCAATGATTTTTCAGATATTTCAAACAGAGATTCATTTTAATTCATTCAGTTTTAGAGATTCATGTTTGTTTTGAACATAGCACAATTCTATTTTTGGTTTGTTTTAATTGTGTTAACCAAGCTTCTTATCCTATGAGAAGATGATTCACTTAATTATTAGTGACTTTTATTCATTATTATTATTATTCATCACTTGTCTGTATGCAGTGAGGAAGAAATGTATTCATAGATCCAAAAGTGAGTGTTTTGTTTGTGCTTTGTTGGAGTTTCTGTGCGAGGTTTATTAGGAGGATTCATATTTGTTCAATAATTTTATTCCTTGTTGTTTTTATTTCTTATTGTATGATTATTTTATGAGTCTATTCTAGCATTCAGCTTGATCTTATGAGGAAACAGAACTATTTTATGTTTAGTCAGTTTAGTGGCAAAATCAAGTTCAGTCATCTGAAAATGAAACACTTTAAAAAGGAGTCGTGGCACCCATAATTCCCCATAATTGGGGAATGACTAAATTGTACTAAACTTTACGAATGAGATCATATGAATTTATATTTTCTTGTTTATATAAAGCCGTTTAAATTACCATTGTGCAATAAATGTGCTATATAAATAGACTTGGCTTATATGTACAAAATTATCAACAAAAATGCCATTCATTACATTCATTGTTTTCAATGCGTTAAAATATGAACAACTGTGCATTTATATAACATACTTTATAACAGCAGGTTTACTATGTTTATATATAACTTTAACCGTTAAAAGCTAAAAGTAGGGCCAGAAACATTTTTTTTAGATTTCTGCAGAGAATTTTTTTTTAAATCTGCAGATTTCTGCGGAATGATTTTGGGAGTATCATAACTTAATATATGAAATCAAAATAATACCTTTTTACCTTTTATTTAATGTTTACAGTACAAATCCAATTAGATCTACTTATTTGGGAAACAAACCAAGCCTCTCATATAATATATCTACTAAACAACAGAAAATATAACTTTTAAAAACTGTATTGTAAATAAATTATATGTACATTTTTATATTTGACAATAATATTATTGAAATTAATATTAAAAACTAATATAAATAAATATAAATGTACACACATTTAAACATGTGAATAAATAGACTGAATGATGGGCTAAGATTCTGCAGAAATCTGTGGATGATTTCAGTGGGCCCAGCTATTAATTACGAATTAATTAGTTAAAGTTATTGTAACTAATATAATTATGGAAACTAATAATCTTAACTTTTCTGAATTTGATTGTAATGCAATAATGTGCCCCTTTTGTAAAGCTACTTTGAAACAGTAACAGCTGTAAAAAGCGCTATACAAATAAACTTGAATTGAATATTTCTTCATTATTAATAGCAGACATTGGGTATATGTGTTTATGTAGGTGCAAACCATGTGGAAAACCTGCTTGTTTTGTTGTGTGTAATGATGAAATTGCTGCATACATTTGAAAGAAGCTTTTGTATTTAAAGAGTTTATTCTATTCTATTCATCTTCAACAGAGAATGTTGTGGAGTATTAACCAGTGGGAATTCTTGACCTTTCAATGTTCAAATTACACACTGTGGCAGTAATGTTCACTCTATGCTTGCCTCCGCAGATCATTTCTCACCGTCCTGAGCTTGATGAATCAACCATCGGTAGGAAGTTGCCATGGAAATGTGAGTGTGTGTGCAGCAGATAATCATTACTGTTCAAATGTATGCTTGAGCAGAGGATTTAAATGCATGGAATAACTCACAGGAGCAAAGAAATCAACCAGCCAGGGCTCCTTCTCATGATTGGGGAAGTTCTCAGGCCTCAGTGTGGTGACGTGGGCATTCACGCTCTCTTTGGCAAAGGCCACTACGTTGTACAGAGCATCCTTACCTGGAGATTTGACAGAGTAACAGGCATCACAAAACACATTTTATAACAATGGTTATTTGCTAATAATACAAATATTTGCTAATTTAGAACAACGTTAAGAGATTTTTAATGTTCTTGGTTAGTTCAAGTGTGCTTTCACAATAGCACTTTTGGTCCGCACCCGGGTTTATTTGACGCCAGAGTTTGGTATGTTTAGCTACAGTAGTGTGAACACTGTCTTTCTTTGCGCATCCGCAAAACATAGCTGATCCCACATTAAAGACATGGTCTGGGGTACGGTTCATGCAAACTCTGGTCTAGTTCACTTCTGATATGAATGCAGTCGTACTAAATAATGGATGTGAACCGTCAATTCTACAACAAACTTTGGTTTTCATAACGTTCATTCGTGTGTGTGTGTGTTTGTGTGTCTGTGTATGACCTAATGTTACATTGGTGACAAGCGAGACTGACCCAGTGCAAAAGCAGTGATAATGTCTGCTTGTTTCCTCAAAAAACATCTTCTGCAGACATTGCGTTATGTTCTGAAAATTTATAATATTTTTGTGGCAGATAGACGCAAGTTGCTCTTTGTATGTTACCAAAACCAAAAGATTCAGTAAATCAAAATGATTGTGATGTGTGTACCATGTGTAAATGGCCATCATCTAGCAGCTGTATACACAATAGCAGCTCGATGACCCAAGCGTACCCAGGTTCAGAAGGAAAAAGACTATGGGTGTACTCACACTATGTACAGTTGCCTTGAACCAGACCAAAGCATGCTTGTCCCCCCTCCCATCTCCCCCGAAGCCCCGCACTCACATTACATTAGGGCCTGGGCATGCTTACGTCATCGATGAGGTGCTGTTCAGTAAGTGCTTTCGCTCAGCACAATGGAGGTTTCTCCAGTGTAATTGTTTTAGCCGTTTAGGATGCGGTGACACACAGTCAAATATTTCGCTGAACAGATCCGCCACTTTTGACGCTTATAAACAATCATAGAGTGCTTGTGCTGCAGGAATTAGGTTTGCTGAAGGTGCAGCTGTGGTGCAGTGAGGGGTTTGCGTCTTTAATAAACTACAACAGATTGCGTTCATTGAACAGTAAGAATGATTAATAAATCCATATTTAACAGTCCCTTAAAAGTCACATCTCGCTTTCAGTTTCGGGCTCAGGCACGTTTTGCACTCACACACACACGAGCCTACCGCGCCAAAGCCCAAGTAAACTGCGCTTTGGCCCACCTCTTCCAACTGGGCCAGGGCCAGCCAAGTGACCCGTGCCTGAGCCCGATTCGAGCTAACACACTTCTCAAACGATGCAGGAAACGGGCCTGGGTACAGTTCGGATAGCATAGTGTGAGTACACCCTATCCGCTTGTTAAGTGGTGACGTGTTTGTGACGTATGTATACTGTTTCCGGGTCCAAGCCGCCATTCATTTGAGTGGAGAAATCATTCGTTTTATGATCGCGTTTTATTCCTATCACACATTAAAGTAGATTTTACATAAAGTCATAGTGTACACAACAATCTCTGGGCTTGCTGCATAACAAATACCAAAATTTAACCAATTTATAAAACAATGAATCTCTTTCTGGCCATCGAATATTAGGCATGGACATAAATTTTGCGATCGTGACTTTCGAAAGTATTAAATCGCTTTGTAAACGTTTATTATTACCATTTCATGAGTCTCCCTATTCAGTTGAATATAGCGCTTGGACCCGGAAGCCGCTCCGCGTGACGTCACACTTAACAAGCGGATGTGAACACAAATCAGCCAAGAAGGTGGCAAGGGGAGGGTAACTGAATTTGGGAACTGACCCAAGTGTTAAAAAAACACGCGAAAAGTGTTTTAACCATCTGGTGCTGGTTTTAGACCTTTTTTTTTCTTTTTTTTTTATTTAAACCACATTTAAGAAGTTTTTTTTTTTGCAGAAAGAATTTTATATAAAGATTTTTTTCTATACGCATCATTCATACATCAGAGCATTAAAAAGCACTTGTTTCAGTTATTAAGATTAGTCCTATTAAAGCTTGTCTGAACTCACCATGGTGGATCTCAAAATCATGAATTCCGACTCCTTTAAAAACCGCCACGCAGGGCTTATGTATGTACAGAGAAGAACACAGCTCAGAATCTGAGATGCAGTCCACTTTCCCCACCTGTGCAAACAGATTAATGCAATGAATCAAACACATCATCAGTTATATGATCAACGAACTGTGTAAAACAGCAGTAAAAACAGAGGTGTTTTCAGAATGCATGTTAACCTATTGTAGTTGAGATTCAAATAATATCATGTATTTTTATTTATTGTCAGCAAAAAAGGCTATTTTCATGGCAAAAAAACTATTTCATTAATAAATAAACAATTAAAAAAACCCAATCAAATAAATACATAAATTAGATTAATTAACGGTAATACTTGATAAAAATTTACAGGTGGCACTGCTGAATATCTCCTTAAGTGAGTTCATTTCATAAAAAACCCTTCTGCAGTGGCCAAAAGCAGGCTAGTCCAATAGCAGTGCTTCCCACACAGACTTTACTTGGGTAGGGAGAATAAAGTATATTTAGTGGCACATTTTGTATTTTTTCACTTTCATTAACATCCGTAAAAAAATGTTTGTATACGCCCAATATAACCAAACATCTGTGATCCATTAAGTAGTGGAAAATCTTCTCTCGTTTAACCGTTTCATTCTGTGTTGCTGAGAACTGTGAACACTCCCACAAGACGTCCCTCTCACGTGCTCTGCAGACCCACAGAGATGTTCCTTTTAAGGATTAAATCTCCTAAAATGTCCGGGATTCAACTTTGGCTTTTGCTCTCTAAAGCTTGTATATGTTTTTTGCATCGCCTTTTTACGTAAGCCTACTTTTTACTTGGCTTCGCAGCTGACTGTGCATGCACAGTAACCAAAGAGAAACATTAAATAATTAATTTTTCTTTTTATCTAAATGACTCACTGAAAAACTAAAACGAAAAACTTTACTATATACTTAGAGAGGGTGAAATGTCTGGTCTAAATAAATGCACGTTTTTAGTAATGATTAAAGGTGCAGTAGCTGATTGTCTTCTGAAAATTATTTTGTTGTGCTGGTTAAAAGTCTCTTCACAGTCCAATTCACCTTATTCTTTGCCGACGAGCGGGCGCAGCCATTTTAATCTTTTTGGCTCGAGACTTCCGTTCACTTCCATTCATTTTTAGACATAAAAAACTGCTCGTTTTGCTGTTTGATGTTGCAAACTGATATTTTCTTATTATATTCTTCTACTTGGTCTGTATAGTCATGCAAACATTTGTTTGTAGAGCAAGTAGTTGGACCGTTTTCTTCCATTTATTATTCGTAGTCATTTCTCCCATAGGCGACTGAATCGGAAGTTCTAAAACAATCGTGAAAACAGGCGCACTTACTAAACTGGATAAACTAATAAATGTTCATCCAGTTAAATATTGTCGGGCCGACATCTCCCATAATTCCAATAAGTAGCTCAAACTGTCTGTCAACAAATGCAGATTTGGCTTTTGCGCATCTGTTCACGCATATCCGCCATTAGCGTGTGCACACATAGATAATCGTTCATGACAAAAGCACATGAGACAGTCACCTCTGCGGCAAAATCAAATGCTGAATTGAAACTTTTTAAACTCCTGAATGAATATTGGAGTTACTTTTGCACGCTGGAGAAAGGACGATACTATGGCTAAAGTATTTCTGTTAGACAGGTAATGTTCTGTTTTAAAACTATTTTAGCTTCACACAAAGCTGATGCAGATGTTGTCGCTTCAAATGGGTTATATGCACAGAAGTGTTGTTCACCCACTGAAATCCTTGATTAATATGAGTATTTTCAGTTTCATAAGGAACTTTTACAGCATTGATGATGTAGATTCTTCTTTAGTTTAACAACAAAACAGAAGTAAATAGCGCTATTCCGCCTAGCCTGCTATACTGAGCTGAAGTTGGTTTTATATTCACATTGGGTCATTTCTGAACAATGACAGCCATTCTGAACAATGACGCCCTGCCGATATTGTTTACCTCTACTCTGAATATTCATTTTGAAATAGCATGCAAGTATGGCTAAGTAATAAGTGTAATTCCTGCACGCCGCGAGCCAACCACTACATACACTTCTAACTGGCGAATGACATAAGCTAGTGGGTTGTCTGCTGTCGTGTTGCTATGCGTGCGTTCGCAATTTCAAGAGGCGTGGCTTTAAAACAGTCCCCTGCCGCCCAAAGCTAATATGCTAACCGATTAGCATTTTGGCAGATCACCTACTGCACATTTATCAACGCATTTGCCTTATTTAAATAATCTACAAGTTTTAATCTTGTAAATATGACAATTTTTAGAAATATTGTCTGTTTTTAGAGATATTGTCTGGGGTTAGGGTTTGATGAAAAGTACTCAAGCCGGGATTCGAACTCGGAATGCCCTCAAGTGCTACGGCACTATATGTCAGCGCGCTAACCACTAGGCAATTGCGCTGATTAAATTAAATTTTTTAAAACAGAATAATGGATCACTTTAATAAAATACTGACGTGCAGATATGGTACACGGCACTATATGTCAGCGCGCTAACCACTAGGCAATTGCGCTGATTAAATTTAATTTTTTAAAACAGAATAATGGATCACTTTAATAAAATACTGACGTGCAGATATGGTACAACAAAAGAATTAAAATATTAATAATACACAATAAATGTATAATTCATGAATAACATTTATCAGGAACCTGTATATGCGAGTTCTTCAGAAGAGCGTTGAGTTTTTTATACTCGTGTGAAGCCAAATCGTTGCGTCCAAAAGAAAAACTGACAAGCCATCGGTGATGGGCCAATTTATGCTGAAATGACAAAGTTAAAGAACATATTTAGACAATTATAAAAGTAATAAGGTATATTTCACGAAACTTCCAAACAGAGCCACACAATGATATCTGATCTAGTTAGTGCGTGTCAGTTAGTGTGTAAACAGAGAGATACTGCAGGTAGTGCTGGGTGTGGTACAAGACTACACTCACTCGACTGCAAACACAAACCTATTATGTACAGCCTTTCCTTATTCTCTTGATATGCATTGCAGTCACTTGCACTCTTACCTCAAAACTGCTCTTTGTGAGAATCTCCAGGTCAGGAAGATGCTGCAGAACTTGTGCATATATTTCTTTAGTATCCAAACTCTGAATAAACTGCAAGGTTGGTCAAAATTTAAATGAAAAACACCCAATTAGATCCGATCAATTAGAAAACAATGCATCTAAACAGGATATACAATAATTTACCCACCAATACACTGCCTTTCTGAGTGAGAGAACTGCCTGGAGGGAAGAGGGCTGTAGTGCTGGTATTGATTTCAAAGCTCTCACACAGATCCGCCTGTTTGGTGCAGTCCATCCATCCTACATTAACTAAACCGTCCTGTATTGTAGAGATTACAATGTTCATTTATGCTCACATGACAGTAAGAGCCATTATTAAATGTTTAGACATTGGAATTGAATTTAGTAAAACAGGGAACACTTACCAACATTCCTGCTAGCTTCCGTCTTGTCTGTGATTCCAAACAGTCTGTGAATGAATCTCGTTTTAGTGATTTTTTAAAAGATGAATAACAGGGATTTCTAACATTATTTCTAACATCTAACAGGATTAGTTGTAGTCTCACCTCCAGTGTCTGCACAAAAAGTTATCAACCAGCCGATTCTTTCAGCAAATGCTCGCTCAATCTCACTATAAATGTTGCCTAAAAATTAAATACATTATTAAATACACAGACAATGCTCAGCATGAGTCAGAGGCAGTACAATATTACAGCAGATAATAATATTTTTAGCTTCTGGTACTGTTCACTTGGCCATTTTATTACATGGAATGAATATGCCAGTAGGTAATTTACAATATTTATACACAAAACATTTCTGTAGTTTTAAAACTGGGATAAACACATAACATGCTAAGTAACACTTAGCACTACATAAAATTTATCAACAAAAAAAAATTTGTTAATTTAGCATTTAACCCCTTAATAAATACACCACTTTCATTATACACTCATTGGCCACTTTATTAGGTACACCTTACTAGTAACGTATTGGACCCACTTTTGCCTTCAGAACTACCTTAATCATTCGTGGCATAGATGCAACAAGGTGATGGAAATATTCCTTAGAGATTTTGGTCCACATTGACTTGAAAGCATCATGCAGTTGCTGCAGAATTGAAGGCTGCACATCCATGATGCAAATCTCCCGTTCCACCACATCCCAAAGGTGCTCTATTGGATTGAGTTCTGGTGACTGTGGAGAACATTTGAGTAAATTTTCTCTGTTTCAGACCGTTCTCTGTAAACCCTAGAAATGGTTGTGCGTGAAAACTCCAGGAGATCAGCAGTTTCTAAAACACTCGCCCGTCTGGCACCAACAAAAATCACTTTTTTCAAAATATCCCCATTCTGGCATGTCTTGACCATGTCTACATGCCTAAATGTATTGAGTTGATGCCATGTGATTGGCTGATTAGAAATTTGCATTAATAAGCAGTTGGACAGGTGTACCTAATAAAGTGGCCAGTTAGTGTAAATAACAGAATCATAACAATCTCAAAAGAACATTTAACTAAAACACTTGCATTAACTCTTTATTTACTACATCACCTTTGGCTTTAAATGAAAATATAATTATAGTATTAAATACCTTGCCATAGTTCCGTCACTTTACTCTTCACAAACTGCATTGCAAATTTGGTAAGGCTTGATTTTGTTCTGTCATTGAAGTATTTCTCAGGATTCTGTTGGCAAGATTATGTTTATTATTTTGGATGACTACAGACATTAAACATATAAATGAATATTACATTCATTCTGTACATACACATGAATTGCATACTAATATATAATTTGAGCATCTATAACGCAATGTGTGTATCTGCAATAGCTAAATCGCAGGATTAGATTATTTATTAAAGATTAAAAGATATTATTAAATATAATTTATTATTATTAATACAATGATGACCATAATAATTTACATTTGATTGTTCAATTTCTGTACTTGAATACTGTTAGACTCCCCAGAAAATCATAAAGCACTGTTTAGTTATAATTTATGCTGATGCATAGCATAGAAAAAGTCTTGATCCTTCCAGGTGATATAAATGAAATAATTCCAAATAGAGCTAATTATATTAATTCATATTGCAATAAATATAGCATAAAGACTAAATATTGCACTGTAAGATTTTTCCAATATTGTGCAGCCCTATGGAAAATGCTCTTACCATTCCTGCTCTGAACACATAGAGGCTGGGGTAACTGTTGATGCCTTTACTGCGGCACAACATGCCATTATCACCACAGTTCACAGCACCTATCCGAATCACACCGTCCATTTCCTTAGCAAACTCCCGCCACTGTAGGGTTGATTCACACGTCAGTCAGATACAGTACAGTGTGACTATAATAATGAAACGTGTGAGGAGAAAGTGATTGTAAGTGGGAGAGAACAGAATTACGCACCGTAGGGGCAAGATCGTGACAGTGTGAGCAGCGTGGGAAATAGAAATTCACGAACCAGACCTCCCCAGAATTTACAGCTGCATCTGTGGATAAAGACAAAACCGGTGTGTCAACACTTAAACACTGGCAGAAGCTGCTCAGGAATCTATTTGACCACTGCAAGATCAGCTTAAAAGAGGTCATGGGTGCGTTTTAGATCTAACTTGATAATTAACAGGCTGTTGAATTGAGTTTTTGTCAATAAATACTAAGCACATTTCCCCCTCCAATTCTCATTGGTTAGTATTAAAAAGACAATAATATTTCTTTTAGTTTGCCTGAAACAATTTAGTTTTATTTAAATTTAAAAACTGCTACAATCAATATTTTTAGTCCCCATTAAAATTATATACATACGTTTAAACACACAAACACACATACATAGTTCTTTTTAAGAACTTTCGTAATTAACATAATTAACTTCAGATAATACTTTAAACTGTCCTTTAAGCAGAATACTAGTAATTTATTTAGCCAAGTAACTAGTAAAATATGACATACTGTCATCATGGCAAAGACTAAAGAAACTAGTTATTAATATGCTGAATTAAATTCATTACAGGCCGATAGCGTTGCCTTTGCAACCTTACTGGCTAGACGACTTATTCTTATGAATTGTAAAGTCAGCAGCTCCCCCTTCTTATCGGCAATGTATTTTTGATTTCCTGCATACTTTTTGGATGGAAAAGATTCGATTTGCGATAAAACAAAAGCCAGAACAGTTCAAGTCTGGAGCCCTTTTCTAAATTTTTTTAAGGAGACCTTAACCTTAATCGAGGATCTTAATTGCCTTTCTATCTTTCTTTTCTTTTTATTATTTCTTTTTATTTCTTTATTCTTTTATTTTTGTTATCTTATGTTTGTATATCTTTGTGTATAAATGTGGAATTTTATCTTTATTTATATACTTGTCTTATATGTCTGACCAAAGATGAATCTAATAAAAAAAAAGAAAAAAGAAATTAGTTATTAAAACGTATAAACAAAAATTAAAAATGTCTTTCTGTTAAACAGCACTCGGGAAATATTTAAAAAAGTATTACAATTTCACATGAGGATGAATAATTTACTGTGTGTGTGTGTGCATACACATCAGCTTGCAGTAAGTGTGAGTCCTAATGCCCCATTATATCGATGGGGACTCTACACTGCTCCATGAGCGCTGTCTTATGGATAAGACTTTAAACCGAGGTCCTGACTCTTTGTGGTCTTTAAAAATCCCAGGATGTCTTTTGGAAAAAAAAATTAATAAAAATAATAGGGGTAAGGGTTTAACCCCGGCATCCTAGCTAAATTTGCCCCTGGCCTCTGTCCACCATGACCTCCCAACCATACACATATCATAATTGGCTTAATCACTCTGTCTCCTCTCCATTAATCAGCTGGTGTGTGGTGTGCGGTCTAGTGCAATATGGTTGCCATCAAATCATCCATGTGGATGTGTGAAGCGCTTTGAGTGTCCAGAAAAGCACTATATAAACGTAAGGAATAATTGTTATTATTACTATAAAAAAAAATTTACATTATTTAATTCACATTTAACTGTATGGTTTATTTTTTGCTGAATTAAAACTCCAAAAGTATTTTATATGACTGTGATGCATTTTCATGTCAGGATGCATAATTTGTCAAAATTGAGGGGACCAAGCTTTACTTTTTATTAATATATATATATATTTTTTTAAATAATCAGAACATGTTTTTGTAAGATTCAGTACAGCAAGCTTTTTAAAAGCTTTTTTTGTCTTAAATAAATGCATTCCATCACCTATTCCGGGTCAAACAGCATCAACACTTACCAAAATCTCCTCTGTCTAAGGTGGTAATTTCTGGATCATCGTCATAAATTCCTGAAAAAAAAACATGATTTTCCTTTGGTATAGAGACAAGCACAGCATACTTTACAACATATTCACTTTTGTACTGTAACACTTTAAAATATCATCCACACAGAACACCATGCAGAAAAATGTAATTACCAAAATCATATCTGTAATAATTCCAGCTTTCATATCTTCCTCCCTGCTGTTCATCTTGCAGACCCTTCTCTCCATATTTATCATATTTCTTCCTCAAGTCCTCATCCTTCAACACCTCGTAGGCCCGATTGATCTTCAAGAACTTGTCGTGGGCTGTTTCATCATTCTGACGATCACAACATTCTCAATTAAGCATACTACATGAATAAAATAAGTATTGAAAAATAAATATTGAACATGTCATGCTTTTTCCAAGTTAATATATTTCTAAAGAAGCTGCTGACATAGAATTGATCCAGATTTTGGTAAAAACTCAAACAATCCGAACATAGACACACACAAAAAAAAAAAACAGTTGTGTGTAAAACAAAGGAATGAGACAAGAAGAAAATACTGAACTTCTGAAATGTACATAGTACTTTGTATAAACTGCTTTCTTTTAGTAATGACAGCTTCAAGATGCCTCTTGGAGAATAGTCACATGCATTGCTCAGATGTAATTTTTTTTCTCATACTTCAACACAACTAAATATCTAGATGTTTCTGATTTCAGCTGCTCACTGGGCTTTCCATGCCTTTTTACACCTTCATTTCTTCATGTGTTCAATTTTTCCCCCCTGTGTCATTTTAATCTTTTAACTTAAAGGGATAGTTCATTTAAAAAAGAACATTCTGTCATCCTCTACTTACCCTTTACTCGTTCCAAACCATTATTGGTTTCTTTTGTCTGTTCTGATATTTTGAAGAATGTTATAAACCTGTAACCAGTGACTTCCATTGTATTGGTTTTTCCTATAATGGAAGTCAATGGCTACAGGTTTTCAGCTTTCAGAAATGTATGTTCTTTTTTGTTTAACAGAATAAAGAAACACATGAGGGTTTGGAACCACTTGAGTGAGTGTAAATAGTGAGTACATTTTTAAGTTTTGGGGTGAACTATCTTCTAAATTTCTGAACTAATTTGTTTTTTCATTGTGTGTATAAATTGCTTTGGTCTGTTTAAAATTTCAAATATATTTCCTTAGTAAAACAGTGACGTGTTCAATACTTATTTTATCCCGCTGTATCTGACCGGTACAAAATAAATCGACTTACAGGGTTTTTGTCTGGATGCATCGTGAGAGCGAGCTTTTTGAACGCCTGTCGGATGTCACGTGTGCTAGCTTCTCTCGAGATACCCAAAAGCTTGTAGTAATCTTCATCGGAGGAAATGGAAACGAAAAGCCATACTGCGATGAAGGCAAACAGCAGAGACTTCCTTGAAGGTGTTAAATGATTCAGGATCATCTCCATTGTTGGTGTAGAAGAACTTCAGAGGTTACAGATGTGTGATGATCAGCCAAGACACCTTGATGAAATGAGAGTGAAAAAAAGAGGAAGAGAAGTGTTCACAAATGCAGCGCTACTGGAAATGAACACGTCAGTGTTTACAGAGGGCGGAGCAACTTTCTTAAGCTGTCTGTCATAATCCACATCTCTAAACATTCTTTTTAAATCCTAATTAATCTCAATTCTAATATTCAATACTGTAATAACCCAGTACAGTATTTTAGAAGCATCCCACAGTGTTGTGATGAAAACGCAATCCTATTATTCTAACACAAGTCTAAATGCAGTAGAATTAAAATAATATTTTAATGATCATTCTGCTACCATTTCTGCTTGCACGTTACACACATCAATTCAATTTGGGAATTACATTTTTTTTTATAATTATTTTTTAGGGGTTTTCAAATTTATTATAATATAAGACATTGGCAATTTCAGACTGGAAAACATTGGGAGAAAAGAGAGAAGAAGGATTAGAAAAGAGAGAGGAAGGATTGACTTTACGTCGGCACACAATATTATTATGACTGGGTATCACATTTTCAATTTAATTTAACAATTTATGAAGCATTAAAATTTCTATGTATTTTAGATATTAAAACTGGAAAATGACAATTTAAATATGTATATTTACATTTTTTATTTTGCACCAAACTATGCATTTATGTGACAGAGTATGCAAATTTAAATTGGGAAACACATAGAGTGTTTACAAAATAATATTGCTATTCATGTGGTTTAATACAGTATAGGGGTCAAAAATCAACACAATAATACAATTTGTGTCTCGTATAATTTTTTTCTGAGCAAAAAATAAAGACCCATGTATTTTTTAACTATGATTCACAAAAACACCCAATAAAACATATTTAAATTTTGTAATTATTTAACCCAGTAAACAATATGTCAGGTACAGCCACACAATATTGGAAAAATATGACATTGCGATATTTGATTTTTCTATATACTGTATGTACAGTTTTACCAAATGATTGAATAGCACTATTTTAGTTTAAACACACAAACTTTAGTTTAGTCACGCTTTATTTTAATGTTCACTTCTCGCTTTTTGCAAACCATTAACTATGACTTTTGCTTCTACTCCTAATTTGCTTCTTATTAATAGATATTAAGGTAGTTTAGATGTTGGGTTAGGAATGTAGAATAAGATGATGCAGAATATTTAGTTTATAAGTACTAATAAGCAGGCAATATCTCAATAACATGCATGTTAATTAGCGATTATTTAATAGCGAGCATTGGTCCCTAAAGTGTTACCAAATGTTTTATTTTAGATTGATTGGGATGATTCTGTAGGGAAGTGAATGATGCATAAAATGTAATAAACAAATTATAAGCATAGACAAAACAATAAAAGAAAAGATAGAAGTGAAATAAGTCTTTATTGTAAAAATAATGCAATAAAATTACTCTTTATTGAACTTGTGCCTAAATACTTTAATCTCTCTCAGAGCTTAAAAACATTTACAAAAACTATCAAATTTGACTATGTTGTGGTTAAACTGCAGTGACACCACAAATCTTGTGTCATGACTTGCATATCTACTGTAAGCGATTTGACTACTGTGGATGCATACATTACGATATTGATGCTGAAACTATATATATATATATATATATATATATATATATATATATATATATATATATATATATATATATATATAAATATAATGCAGCCCTAATGTCTGGGATATTTATGAGAAGAATCCTTTGACAACAAACCAAAAGACCAGAGAACTAATTATTCATCATTTAAACTGTGTCATTGTCCTTCAAACCACAAGATTTTTCCCATTTTAGTAAAGAGTTTTAATAAAAATGTATTATGAAAATAAGTATGTCATTTGATTTTTACAAATATATATTTTGTGGTCAAAGATCACGAAATATTATTCCATCAATAGTGACATCTTTCATTTTACTAAGGCACTTGCATTTACTTTCTCTGATTGAAATATCTTCAGTAAATTTAATTCAGTCCAAACACTACAATCTCATATTGAGTAAGTTTAAGCCAGTTCAAGAAATACCACAATGATATATAAATTCTTATACAATTCTGAATTTGGCGACATGTTGGCTCAGTGGTTAGCAATGTTGCCTCACAGCAAAAGGGACCCTAGTTCAAGTCCCCATGTTGGCGTGGGTTTCCTCCGGGTGCTCCGGTTTATCGCAGAATTGGTATAGGTAAATTGGCAGTTCATTCCACTGTGGCGACACCTGATTAATAAAGGGACTAAGCTGAAGGAAAATGAATGAATGAATGATACAGCTACTTCACCATGTAGTATTACAGTAACTTAAATGATTCTATATATAGTAAATATGCTTAACTGACAATCTAGAACGCAAAACAATCTACACAAACATCGATTACAAACAATATTTTTGTACAGTTAGCCCGGTTTGAAATTCACACTTTCTAATATATAAAGTTTATTAGTTTACTTAGATCAGATCCTGTTAGACGTCTAACTTACAGCTGAAGCAAACTAGTGAGACACTCGTCTGTTTATCTTAGTAACTTACAACTGCTCAGTTCTCTCTCTAGGGTCATAATTTAATGTTTATAATTGAGATAATGAACACTGATGGGAACACTTGAGCCAGTAGCGTAAGTAAACCGTCAGCTGGCTAATTACTGCATTCCGATGCAAACTTTTGATCGAAACACACAACAAGTGATTGCTAAAGATACACGGAAGTGACATCGACATCTGTGTTATGTGTTTGTGTCTCTATTTTCTTACCTTTCGTCTCACTCTTTAATGTTGCTCCAATTTCGCACAGATGATCATCTTATTTTTACTCACACCGGTGTCTGCAGCAGAGTGAAGCAAACGACGGAAAGAGAACAATAAACCCGGAACCCGTAAGTAAAAGATTTTCAAAATAAAAGACATGTTCAAAACAGTTTTGTTTCCATGGACGTCAGAGATGTTAGCGATTTTTAAAATAAAGGATATAATAGTAAGCATATCAAAAACATAATGATGTCTAATAATCATTTTGAAATAATTTAGTCTAATTTTAACTAATCTTTTAGCAAACACAAAAAGCTGAAACAAAAGCTATTTGTTTATGGGAATTTGGGACAAATTTGTTCTTTTCTGTTTCTGAAACTTATATTCATGCCATAATCTTTTCCAGCTTGTCATGCTTTTTGCCTGTTTGGTCAAACAGCAATTCATAGCTCGGAGCTAATATCTATACTGCACAATAGGGCCTAAAAAGATCCACAATAGACTTTCTGGATGGACACATCACTGCTTTCCTACTCTCGAATGCTTTATTATATCAAACTTACATTATGAACACAGGGATTAAACTCTACTAACAAATTTTAAATAGTGCTACCTCAGCAGCCCTTTGTGCTTTGGTACCAAAACTTAATACAAATCTGCAACAAATTGATGTCTGCCATTAACAGCTTTTAAAAACTGTAATGGATGGAGACCCTTCTTTTATTTATTCACAAAAGCCTGGAATGAGATCCCACAACATCTAAAAATAATACCAACACTGAGACTTGTAAAGAAAAATGTCCATGCTCGTCATCTGATGGTCAACTATCGAGAGATAGTAGCCTGTTTCTCTTTATTTTGCATGTTTGGTGATTGTACTGTTCTCACGTGTTGATGGATGAGATGTTAAGGGTGTCTGTTTTATTTTTTGCAGAGCAGGAACCTGCTGAAAAACAGCATTCATGCTGAGTCATACCCGATTATCTTTTAATCTTTTCTGTTTAAAAAAGTTATAAATAACTACATAATTTTTAATTATTTACATTTTAAAAACCTTTATTCATCATCATATTCTCCAATACATGTTGCATTTCATAGTTTAAGTGTCTTGGTTCATATTACAATTATTAAAAATGAGTAGAAGTTTTGGGGGTAAAAGTGGTTTATTGGTTTGAAATGGACAAACATATATTACCAATAAACAATTCAGTTCACTAAGGCACTGTATTATTGCAGATAAATAGCCCTTCTTATGTTATATGGATCAGCTTCATTTCTAAATTTTCAAGGTATTTGTAGGTCAGGAGTTTCTTAAAGTACTTGAATATACTAATTTACTTCAATAATTGACTTTCATTCATTTTGGGAAATATAAATAATGTACAGTACAATGATCTGAGATTAAGAGCACATGAAAATTTCCAGTTTCTTTAATTTATGTCTTTGAGCAAAACATCATTTATTTTTATTCTGTAATATACTGATGACAATTCTGAATGTTATAATTTTATAATTTTTTATTATTGTTTTGCATAAAACAATTAAAAGCACATACTTATGTTCATTTTAAGACAACAAACTAATTTTGTTTTAATTCTAAAAAGTTAAGAAATCGATATTTGCTGGAATAACTTTGGTTTTTAATCACAATGGCTTTTATTGTATCCAATTGATATTTTCTGCAAAAAAAAAAAAACGGTAAATTATTTAGTTTGCATGTTCTCCCCGTGTTCGCATGGGTTTCCTCTGGGTGCTCTGGTTTCCCCCACAGTCCAAAGACATGCGCTATTGGTGAATTGGGTAAGCTAAATTGGCCGTAGTGTATGTGTGTGATGGCAAGAGTGTATGTGTGTTTCCCAGTGTTGGGTTGCGGCTGGAAGGGCATCCCCTGTGTAAAACATATGCTGGATAAGTTGGCGGTTCATTCCGCAGTGGTGACCCCTGATTAATAAAGGGACTAAACCAAAAAAATATGAAAGAATTATTTTATATATTAAAAATTTATAGAATAAAACAAATAATATTAATCATAAACACACATATTAAATCCAGAGAGACTGGGAATTTTCAAGAGGTCTTTTCATTTTTTTCTCCATAACAGTATAAATGCTTGGCAAGTGCAAAAGACTATTTCTTTATCAGTACTACATGTACAACACGTCGTTGATGTTTAACAATTAACAGGACGGAGATATGCATGATAACACGAGCAGGTGGATGTCATTTGCAAGCACTCACAGTTAAGCTATAAACTGCTTCTGGGTCAGGCAGAGACAAAACGCAAACTATATGATGTAAGAGCAAGTCTATAAAGTGCTTTACGCTTATAAAATGTTTCTTCATAAGACCAAAGTGTATGTTCCCCTGTCTTTGCGACTGTATGTTCAGTCAGAGTAATAGCTGATGAGTCTTTCTGCTTCTCGCTGTCCGGATAAATAGGCTCCATGGGTGGTGGTGTAGAAGTTCACATGCGTCGCTTCACCAGCAAACAAAACCTGAAGGTTCTTCAGAAACAGAGAAAAAAACTGTTATTAAAGTCCCTGTGAAATCAGAATCAAGCATTTTAGAAATTAGTATGAATATGTTAGTTATAAGGATATATATATAAGCTACACTGTAAATAAACAAAAAAACAAGTTTAAATCTAAAAAGGGCGGTTCGCTGCAGAGCTTTTTTAGTGCAGTGCTTGGGTTAAAAGTTAAGTGAACTCAAAAAAAGCTGTGCCGCAAGTTTCTATACGATTTTAAGTTGAGTCAACTTGTATACAGTGTAGTGTGACCAAATGTACATTAAGAAGTCATAAACATCCAAAGCTTGCAGTGTGTAACTTCACTCTAAACGCATAAAAAAAAAAAAAATAAATAAATGACATCACTTCTCATCAAATCTTCAGACCAATCAAATGCTCTCTAGTATCTGCCATGCTTCGCCCCCTTCAAGATTCTATAGCTATATGGACTTGAGGTCAACCATTACCATTGTCAGAGCTGTCATAATGGGGGGAGTAGCTATTTATGTCTAGGCCCACACGAAATCTACGCGTGCAGAAATTTGCAGATTTCCGCAGATCATTAGCCCATCACTGAGTCTATGTACTTACTTGTGGAAATCTGTGCAGTTTTATATTTATTCTGCTTTTAAATTCATTTCAGTAATATTATTGTGATTTAATAATAGTAATAACAAAATGTTGATATGATTTATTTACAACACAGTTTGTGAAGTAATATTTTCTGTCTTTTAGTAGATATATTGTATGAGAGACTTGCTTTGTTGACCAAATAATTGTTAACTCTATCATAGCTTGATTATGGAATTATACTGTTTACATTTACAGAATAATATGTGGATATCCTTGTTATTGTTAATTAAAATGGTTAAAAAAAGCCTTTTACATAATATAATATAATATAATATAATATAATATAATATAATATAATATAATATAATATAATATAATATAATATAATATAATATAATATAGTGAAGCAGTGGCGCAGTAGGTAGTGCTGTCGCCTCACAGCAAGAAGGTCACTGGTTCGAGCCTCGGCTCAGTTGGCGTTTCTGTTTGGAGTTTGCATGTTCTCCCTGCATTCGCGTGGGTTTCCTCCGGGTGCTCCGGTTTCCCCCACAGTCCAAAGACATGCGGTACAGGTGAATTGGGTAGGCTAAATTGTCCGTAGTGTGTGTTTGTGGATGTTTCCCAGAGATGGGTTGCGGCTGGAAGGGCATCCGCTTTGTAAAAACTTGCTGGATAAGTTGGCGGTTCATTCCGCTGTGGCGACCCCGGATTAATAAAGGGACTAAGCCGACAAGAAAATGAATGAATGAATAATATAATATAATATAATATAATATAATATAATATAATATAATATAATATAATATAATATAATATAATATAATATAATATAATATAATAATCAGATTTCATACATTTTACACTTTACAATAAAAAATAAACATCTGTGTAATATTAATCTTTCAAACATTTAATATATACAATATCAAATGGTTACCTTCCTCCCCCTGGACCTGTGTTTAGGGGGAAGAGGGGACGCTAAAGCCTTGTGTGCTTCCACTCCATCAACACCATCAGGTACAAATGTATAGGAGCCGCGGACTTGAGGATCAGAGCCCCATCTGGAGATCAGCGTCTTTGACACTTCTGGTACTGGCCAGCCTGTTGAAGACCTGAGCAACCTTTAAAAATACATATAGAGATATTCAGTTTATTAGTGACAACAAATACAACAACAAAAAAACAATTAAGAGCTTAAATTGTGACATACAGTTGAGGTCAAAATTATTAGCCTTTTTTTTCCTTTTTCAAATATTTCCCAAAATGTTTAACAGAGCAAGGAATTTTTCACAGTATTTCCTATAATATTTTTTTCCTCTGGAGAAAGTCTTATTTCACTAGAATAAAAGCAGTTTAAAAAAAAAAAAACATTTTAGGGGTCAATATTATTAGCCCCCTAAAGCAATATTTTTTGAATGTCAACAGAACAAACAATCATCATACAATAACTTGCCTAATTACCTATCACAATCACTAGCGATTTAATCCCGGCAGATCACTGGTAAACATGCAGTTCGCTAAAAAACTACAAATCCGTTGGTATATGGACTGCAAGATCCAGTCATGCACCTCTCACACGCACCTGTTCCAGATTACGCTGAACACACTCACAGCCGGAGGATCAATATGGACTGATTACAAGAATTACATATACAGCATACACGCACACTTCATTGCCGAGTCTTGTTTTACTGCTTTTGTAAGAATTGCAACATGTTTTGCCTTGCCTCGCCTTGTTTCTGACCTTTGCTTTGCTTTGTTTTGTTTGTTTATGTTGCTTCTGCCTGCCTTTTAACCATCTGCCTGTTTTATGACCACGACTCTTGATTGCCTGTATATATTTGCTTGCTCCTGCGCTGTGAAGGGTCTGGCTGCTGACTCGGTGCAGATGCTATCTGAGCTGCATCCAATGCTTTTTAATTGGCTCATCTAACCCTAACCCTTACAGTGATGTCACTAGCTCCGTTGAGTGCATTGTGTCTCTGACATTGCATCTCTGAGCAATGCAATCTTAGCTTGCATCATAAAGGCTGCATCCAGATACTATTGTCGACTGTTGCTTGCCTGACTATTCTTAATAAACCTGCATTTGGATCTACACCTTCGTTGTCAGCGTCCCATTTACTTTACATTACCCTAGTTAAGCATTTAAATTGTACTTTAAGCTGAATACTAGCCTTTTTAAAATATCTAGTAAAGTATTATTTACTAAAAACTAGTTATTAAAACTAGTATATAAAGTAGTATATATTATAAAAAAGTTATTAAAACTATTATGTTTAGAAATGTGTTGAAAAAATGTCTGTCAAACAGAAACTGGGGAGTATTTGTACAGGGGGCCAATAATTCAGGATGGCTAATAAATCTGACTTCAGCTATATATTAATTAATAACTGTTATATGCCAATTTATTAGCAGTTTAATTTATAATAATACTATTTGAACAATGTGTTTTAATGCTTGGCAAAAAAAGAAATACATGCCCACAAGCTGAATTTGTGATATAGTAGTGATAATTATTAGCTATATGCTACTTACTGATGTAAAAGCAGGTGTTTTAAAAATTTGTTTACAATCTAACCAATGCATTTCAATGAAAGCCGAATAAAATAAATCTAAATAAATAAATATACAATTAAATAATAAATCATTTTAAAATGATTGGACTTTTTCAAATAAACAATTGCATTAACTTGTGCACACACATAAAAGACTATAATTAAAATACTGACTAAAATGTCAGAATTAACTCAATGTTATTTGAAGGAATCAATGCTCATAGTAAAATCATCAAATATATTTATGTAAAAGTTATGTTTAAAGTTTTTTTTTTACTAAATATTAAGTATAATTATTAAATCTAAATATAAATGATAAATATACTTAATACACATTAAAATAAAATTATATATATATATATATATATATATATATATATAAATATATATAAATAAATATATATATAAATAAATAAATATATAAATAAATATATATATATATATATATATATATATATATATATATATATATATATATATATATATATATATAAAATAATACATAATTTCACAGCTCAATGTCATGATGTAATGTAAGGATAAAATTAATCTCTTTGGACTGTGGGGGAAACCGGAGTACACGGAGGAAACCTACGACAACACGGGAAGAGCATGCAAACTCCACACAGAAATGACAACTGGACCAGCCATGACTTGAACAAGCAACCTTCTTGCTGTGAGGTGACAGTGCTAAACACTGAGCTACTGTGTCGCCCTTAATGTCACTCATTAAATATACATATTATATCCCAAATCTAAATGAAAATTATATATTTAAAACACACACACAGATTGTGTAGGTGTGCTAAAAATATCCCAAAATATATATTATTTAATAAAATAATAATATAAGTAATATAAGAGAGACACACACACACAGATATAGTTTATTATTATTATTATTATTATAAATTAATAATAGTAAAAATACTGATTATTTTTATCATGTTTTATTCATAAATGTTCATAATTAAATATACAGTTTATTCTGATTTATCATTTAACATTTTTATTTGTAATTGAATTATTATTTTTTAACTACTACTACCACTATTTACTGTGTTTTCTATGTTTTTAAAAATATATATGTATGTTCGTTTTAATGTAAACTTTATAAATGCTTTGGCAATACATTTGTAACATTTGTCATGCCAATAAAGCAGTTATTGAACTGAATTATTGAACTGAGAGAGAGAAAATATATTGGTCAAAATGATACACTTTACCTCACACAGACCTCCTGGATTTCCCTGTCCTGAAGACTCTCCATATAAAGTGCTTCCCTGCCCGTGATCCAGCCACACAGAGCAGTAGGATGACGAGCCACCGTATCAAAACCAGTGATCTTCTTAAACCACGTCTGCTTCCAGTCTTCTCCTTCAGACAGATCCTCATACACATCTTTATCCTCAGGCCCCTCTTTCCACACCAGCTGAACCCCAGCACAATCATCCGGCCAGAAACTCTTCTCAAAAAACAGAAAGATTTTGTTCACAATCCCAAAGCCGAGATCATTAATAGCGGACAGCTTCTTTTCTGGTAAAGTCGGATCAAACATGGTTTTAGCATGCTCTTTGAGAACACCAAGAGATACGGTGACTATCACATGGTCTGCTTCAAAAGTCTGTCCATTTTCACAGACGACCTGAACAGGATGATCTTCCTCCTCGCTCTGGCCTTCTTTAACCAGATCCCAGCGGATGGTCTTAACTGGTGCATTACACCGGACAGCTTCTGAAGGCACATCTCTAAGAAGAACATCTAAAATTGCTTGATATCCACCAGGTCCCAGAGTGTTGAAAAACCCTCCCTCTAGCTCTGTGTAATTGCTAAGCTGAGATGCAGAAATCTCATAGAGACTGGAGCAAGCCTCATCTGTGCATTCAACCCTCTTGCACCATTCATAAACTTGCCGGGCATCTTCGGTTTTGGATAATTCTGTTCCTCCAAAGGCATCATCTAAATACGCACCCAGTGTTAGTTTTCTGTACTTGCCGTCCAGCTCATCATCAAAAGCTTTATCTGTGAGCTTGCTGAAGCGTGCACACACTTGATCTACAACTGATTTGGGGACCGGCTTCCCATCCTCGTTGAAAAAGTAATCTCGAGGGGAGACAGAATGAGGGAGGCACATGTTTTTCATTGCTGACGGTCCTTCAGATAGCAGGTTCTTCTCTTTGGCAATCTTGTACAGTGGGTTTCCTTTCTGCCCATGGATCCAGTTCGCTCCAACTTCGATTATGTTCTCGGTGAATGGTTTAGTGGTGTGAACTCGACCTCCAACTCTTTCCTTTGCCTCAAGAACCAGGACATCTTCAAATCCTGCTTCGATTAACTTGGATGCAGCGGCCAAACCTGCAAACCCTGACCCAATCACTAGAACTTTGGCATTTTCTGGTCCTGTACTCATTGTTGCTGCTTTGTTGAGCTGTTTAGAAAGCAGAAAATGTATAAATTAACTCTTGCAGACAGCAACTTGACAGACAGACTGTAAAAGAGTGCCCTACCCACTTTAAAGTTGCCTTTATGTAGCTTAACACCTGCAATACCTGTAAAACCTGACCTTTGTAATTCATATAGTACAGTATTATTTACATAAAGATCAGGTGGTTTTTAGTCATCCAATGGAAGTTGGAGATGCAAATGGTATAGTAGGCAGCATGACCTCTTCTCTCGTTTGCACTTTGCCTGCGTGACGACAGCAGATTTATTTAATATCCAGTAAAACATGAACGATCACATTCATGTTTTCATTCTATTGCTATTTTGACGATAGTGACAGTGTGAATGCAGCCACATTCACGGTAAAGCCAAACTTCAAAATAAATGTCTGCATATAAAAGAAAAGAAACTTATTTAAATAAGACTTTAAATTACTTTAAATAAGACGATAAAATCTTAAATATGCATTAATCAAAATATTATTTATTTTGTCTGTTTTTATCCATTAACAGTTAACCTAAACATTGCTGAATGATATCGACAGATAAACTATCAATAAACAAACAGATTAGGCTATTATTAGATTTCTAGTACTAAATATTTTACAATTACTATGAATGTCACGTAGGCTACTAATTGGATTAATGAAAAACGCGAAACATCAAACTTTTACACAAGAAAAACTGATGAAATGAAACCAACCTTATTGTGTCTATTCCTTTAAGCTGATAGTCAGCAGATGGCGCTAATAACCCGCCTTTTTTCTTGCTCGTTGACTTGCCTCAGACCTAATTATGAAGTTAGCTGTTTACGAAAGTACCTTACACTTCAAAACTCTTCAAAATAACTAATTTCTAAACAGATAAACTAATGCTGAAGAAAATGTTTGAAAGAAAATTACTTCCCTTAAGTCAGATTCAACTTAAAAAGTCATCTTGTGTTGCTGAAGCTACTGCAATAAGCATAGGTATGTGCTTGCATTATTCTCACAAAAGTTTTATTTCTGAATGATATATAGTGTACTTCTTATTTTTAGTTAACATTTGTTCATAATCATTGTGTGTTTTTGTGTAAACTAGCTTACCATTTCTGCTGAAAAGTTCTAACAGACCTAATCTTGTTTGTTGATCTTACAGGTCAGCCTGGCTAGTTAAAATTTTCTGCTAAAAGCTGCTTGAAGTCCATTTATATCAGTTTCTAATCAGCCTGGCATAAAAAAACAGTAAAATTGTTTAATATTTTTATTATATATATATATATATATATATATATACATATATATATATATATATATATATATATATATATATATATATATATATATATATATATATATATATAATAATAATAATAAATATATTAAACAATTTTACTGTATTTTATGCCAGGCATATTAGAAACTGATCAACAAAATTCCAACACTATAAAACCAACAGTCAACTTTATTAAATGAAATAAGTGTAGTTAACTCAATTTACTAAAAGTTAATTCTGCTCATTTAAAAAGAGCTTGAACTTAGTGTTGAAGATAATGAGTTAATTAAATACCACAATATTTCAACATAAATGGAGTAAGTTCACATTACTCATAGGTTTTTAACTCAAATGGTTTGTCACAATCGGTTTCCTCAAACCTTAAACTTATTGGGTTTTATAGTGAAAGAAAAATTTAGTAGCTATAGTTTTAATTAGATTTCGTTACTTGTTTAAATGCTCATCAGTTTACAATTATTGGTTATTGATTACAATGCATTCACACATTAATGGTTAAATGCACGGTATATAATTTCAGCACCGATATCGCAATGTGCAAATTTGCAATAGTTACATTGGAAGATATGCAATGCTGAGTCTGAATTATAGTTGACCAGGGGCTAGAGAACTGTATTTAAATACTGTATTCATGTGGAATTTATATGATTTATGCAAAAACAAACAAACAAACAAACAAAAAAACTAATTTAATAATACTTTTACTTGTTTTAATACAAAGCAATATTTTCACTTGATTTAAAATTTTTTTGGATATTTAGACTAGAAACAAGACAAAGCCAAGTCAGATTGCCAAGTTTTTTTGCATTTTGATTATTAAATTCCTGTGCAGAACTGTGTTTTAGGAAATATGAGTTTACTGTATTTAGCAATACAGTTTACATTAATATTTAAACGGGGATAATAAAATTAGTGTAAAAGTACTCACTTTGGCAAAATACTACCAAGTGTAGCTAAAATAATAGGATGTAATTGTAATTTGAATAAGCAGGGTTTTTACATGTTTTGTGTGCGCGTGTGTGTGTGTGTGTGTGTGTGTGTGTGTGTGTGTGTGTGTGTGTGTGTGTGTGCCTGAGTGTGAGGACTTTTGAGAGTAAAAAAAAATGCAACACAAAGTTTTCAGTTTAATCATTCTTAAACATACCATTAAAAATAAGCACAAATCCTGAACATTCACGATGACATATAGCATATTAGTCATGTTTTCTTTGTCATTTTACCTGTATGTGAAACTGGGCGTGTGGGGCGTGAGCGTAATAACAGGGTAATTTGTGTTGGATTTTACAAATCTGGATTAAAAAGTCAACAATCCCTGCTGAAAGACAGTTCTTACCCACCTAGTCTCTTTGTTTGCCTTTGCTATTGTCAAGTCAGACAGACTGCTTAAAGATGTCTTGGAGAACAGTCTTGTTTATTATTTGTTGTTGTAAAGAATTGCAGAAATGTAGGCCAAAAGTATTTCATTGTCTATACATTGCATGACTCATGCATTACATTGCTGACATCCCTCAAGTAAATGACACTTCTAATGCCACATTTCCATCTTCTCATACGGTAAAAAAACGAAAACAAGACAACAGCTCGGGTGAAAAAACAATGTAAGTAAAGCACAAAACAGACGCAATGTCCACACTCAGACATAAATGCTGCTTAAGATTATTTTCAATTTCAAAATTTCAACCATCAGGTCTTAAGCACTGCTTACTGTGCCGTTTCAGAGATACATTTAGGAAATCCGAAAAGATTCATGTAATCTTACTGTACAATGTAAATAATTCTGTGTTCCACACAGTCGATTTGTGTTGGTAAAGCATGAAGGAATTAAGTTAACCAAATTTATTTATTTATTTTTTTTACAAATTTATGTGGATTGGACATAAAACAATGAAGTTGTCTAAAGCAAAATCAGGAATTGTGTTGTTTTAGCTCATTTTAAATAAGTAGTTTTAAGAAACGTACAGCATACATAATTTTTTTTCAGTATAAGCTCATATCTGTGGTCTTTGATTGTTGGATTGACATGTTCACCAACAGCTGCTTAAAGACTATTGCGATCAAATTTTCTCTTCGATACAGACACGCAAGAAAACTCACCTGGAGTTTGACATCATCCATGCATGACACTTTAACTATCCCTCATTGATTCCTCACACCAAACGTAGGCTATTTGAAATTGCCTACTACTAGGTTCTTCATTTGAGTTTGAACTTCACTACTGTTAGAATAGTATGCTCTATATCAGAGGTGGGCAAACTCGGTCCTGCTACTACTACTAGTTTACGTAGCTACAACACTAATCAAACTCACCTAAACATCCCAAGAAGTGTCTTCAAGATCACTAGAAATCTATAAGCAGGTGTGTTTGATTAGACTTGCAGCTAAACTGTGCAGGACACCAGCCTTCCAGGACCTAGTTTGCCCACCCCTGTTCTATATAGTATGAGTAGTATTCACCCTTAGTTACCCCTCTATGTTAAAATTTTACACTGGTACTGCATAAGTCAATGCTAGATAATTTTATAGTTATATAAAATGTAATATAATTAATGCAGTAAACATTCATTCATTCATTCATTCAATCATTCATTTTCGGCTTAGTCCCTTTATTAATCTGGGGTCCCCACGGTGGAAAGAACCACCAACTTATCCAGCATATGTTTTATACAGTGGATGCCCTTCCAGCTGCAAACCATTACTGGCAAACATCCATACACACTCATTCACAGCCACACACTATGGACAATTTTGCTTACCCATTTCACCTATACCACGTCTTTGGACTTGTGGGGGACACTGGAGCACCCAGAGGAAACCCACTCGAACACAGGGAGAACATGCAAACTCCACATAGAAATGCCACCTGACCCAGCCAAGGCTCGAACCTGTGACCTTCTTGCTGTGAGGTGATCGTGATACCCACTGCGCCACCGTGACACCACAGTAAATATTTTAAAATTTAATTAATCATTTAAAACATTAATCTTCCTTCGGCTTAATCCCTTATTTATCAGGGGTCACCACAGTGGAATGAACCACCAACTATTCAAGCATATGTTTTTATGAATTGAATAAACTAAATTGGCCGTAGTGTACGAGTGTGTGTGCGAATAAGTGTGTATAAGTGTTTTCCAGTACTGGTTTGTGGCTGGAAGGACATCCGCTGTGTAAAACCTATGCTGGAATAGTTGGTGGTTCATACCACTGTGGCAACCTCCAAAATAAGACTAAGCCAAAGGAAAATTAATGATTTACTTTTACTTTTTGTAAATGCTTACCTAATGATTTCTTCAAATTTTATAACATATTTTAAATATAATATTATATAGCACCATAGTCTCATATTAATCTGATTATCTGTCAACAAAATGTATTAATTATATTTAATTTATATATTTATTACCCTTTATATTAAACAATGTTCATGGAAGAGAGCTTTCCAAAGAACTTTCTTTGGAAAAAAGATCGCTTTTTATCTTCTCCACGCAAAGATGGCAGATTTCCCAAACAATCAGTAGGCTGACTTAATACAACTCATTCACAAGCTGTGATCACTAAGCTATTTGGTAACACTTTATTTTGTTGGTCCGTTTGAATATTAATAGACTGTTTGCATACTATCTGTTGATATGCACATTTAACATGCATTTAACTGACCATAAAAAACTTTGCTAGTACATGTCAACTTACCCTAAACCTGACCCCAACCCTTACCCAAACCTAACACTCTACTTATAATCTAATGAGAATTAATTTTAATGTAACTTAAATAAAAAAAAAAACGGACCATAAAAATAAAGTGTGACCCGCTATTTAAATAGGAACTGTTCCTGTGACAACTATGGTTATGTTTTTAATAAATTAAGCTTCAAACTTGCCTTGGGGCCACAAGACAGGTTTTATGATGTTCTATTGAATTTATGCATACGTTAATGTATAATACTTGAATTAGCAAAGAGGCAACAAAAGATTTTCCATCATAATGTCTTTTCATGTTTATTGACTTTTCCATTAGACAGGTGGTCTGCCTTTTGTACACAGTAAATGATTAATACCAATGGAAATTACACATTAGACA